TATGGCAGCGGATGAGGAAGAAACTGTGCAACATGTTGGGGATTTTTTTTACATCTCGATAGCAAACTTGAAAACATCTGACATTTGTGTGTCTGAGGGCGACAGATTTGCAAAAAGGCGGCTGGATGTGGCGTTCCCTGTGTATTAGTAAATCCCAGTTAATTTTCCCTGTCAGAGAACAATGAGATACGGACCCCCGCGGGCTCGGCTCAACGTAATTCCAGCACTTGCTCGGAATCACCTTCATTACTCATCAGACGTGTGGAGGATCTTTCTCCGTATAAGACGGAAAAAACCCTTAAAGTGCGCACCAGATCCTCGGATTCTCCAACACCACTTCTACGGAGTCTTCTCTTTTTTTTTTTATAGTGTGATTACACCTCTCGAGACTTTTTCAAATTTTCCACGGCAGCTGCTACTTTCTCAGCCAGACAAACGTGTCTTTCCTCTGCTGTAAGATTTGACAGCTCTTCAGAGTTCCTGCGGTTGGACTTTGTTTAATTTATAGTAGCTGGATGCTCTTCATTCACACTTCATGTGAGGATGTGTGGCGCTGCGCTGTGACATCATCTGTTTTTCACAGTGTCACACTCAACGTGCAACGGGGCCTTCGACAGCTTCACTTACACATCTGTAAAAGCATCCTGCAGAGGTTGCATTCACATGTCGATAATAGAACAAGCATCAAAGACAGACAGTTTGACGATTATCACTGTTACATTAATGCTATGTGTAAACTAGGGCTGGGCGATATGGCCTCATTAAGCAGTTCACCTTGATGACGATAAATGGACAATAACTTCTCCACAAGCTGCTCACCCCCTCCCACATTAACTTTGTCTACTTCAGCCGCCGCTCCAGCTGCTACAACTTTTGAACCGTCCTCCATCTCCTCACCTGTCTTTCCCTATTTGTTACGGACTGGATGGGGTGGAGTCACGTCTCCGACACAGGACAGTGTCTTAAAGGGACATGAGACCATAGCCTACCTAAACACATCCAAAACCAACTTTTATTCACTGAATATACTGACATGAGCAAAATGACGTCAGTTATAGTCCTAAATTTCGGTATCGATAATTTTTTAGTTTATCGCCCAGCCCTAATTGAACCTCAAATGTTTTCATACATCCTTACATGTATGTGCTGTTAAGGGTTTGCACCAGTCGCATAGTTGCATTACAACGGCTAATTTTAGGGGTGTGAGAAAGAATCGATTCACGTAAGTATTAAGATTTTTTAAATTTTTAATTCAACTTTTATGATCAAATATTTCAAATTCAAGAGTAAATCTTAAAAACTGACTTACATGTGATATGTATTCATTGGGGAAATATGATTCCTGGAATATTCAGTAGACAATCATATTCTTTCTACTGTTTAACTGGTGTTAAAAATGCAGACTAAATATAGAGTAAATTGACAATATTGTAGAATCGCGATTTAAATTGAATTGGCATCCAAAAAATCGTAGAATAATCGAATTGGGAGAAAAGCATATCATCCCAGCCCTACTAATTTTCCTCCTCACCATTAGCTTCCTGTGGTCATATTGTCAGGTTGTTTGCAAAAATAAATCCAGATTAAGGCAGATACAAAATTCGGCCGATTGTGTTTACACATGCAGCTCAACCTGAAAATTTTTTAAGATTTTAGGAGATTCTTTTACATGTATGTCCACAGCTTTTAACTGCTAGGTTTAACTTCAAAAACTTGCTGTTCTCTCACAAGCTGTTTGTAGATTTACATGACATGTTTTTAAAATTTAGTAACTAACTGGAACAAAATTAATGGAGCGAAAACATAAAGAGAGCTACATGACTGAGACCGCATATGACGACTGTTGTTATGATAAAACTAAGCCCAAAGTCACTCCCCACTCTTTCTTTACACTTTTCTACACTGTCACACCTCCAAATAAACTTTAAAATGTGTTAAAATCCTTTGCAATGTCTCAAACTCTTTGCCGGTTAATTAAGCTTGTTTTTCTAACATTACTTCTGACACTAAATTATATTTAAGTCGGAAAATCTGCACATTTATGAAGGTACAGACCAGCTAAACAAAGCGTCCAACTTGTTCTGAGCAGCTAATATATGTGAATTTTACACTTCATTATTTAAATCATTTTAAAAGGTTACAAAAACTCTGACTGAATTTGATTTCTGAATTGAATTAACAGGGGGATTTCTTCCTGGTGGACCAAGCAGGCACAAGATCAGGCCAAAACCACAGTATTTAGTTGTATTAATCACGAGCTGCGTCTCTGTTCCGGCTAACTTCCCCTCCAGCGCGGCTGCAGCTGTAAGAGCAGGCCGGCCTATTGTTCAGACTAACAAGGGCCGCAGAGGTCACTCGCATTTTCACAAGAGCTTTAGCCAGAGGGGCTGAGGGAAGAAGCAGCAGCCGGCACACTCACGCGGTGTGTTTGGTGTGGATCTACACTAAAGCTGTTTCTATAAAGTCACATCATTCTCAGTCTATTATACAGGGGGGATAGATTAGATTAAGTGAGATTATGCAGAGAGGGGCTCCCTAAAAAGAGCAAAAATAACACACTTAGGACTTAGCAGGCGAGTCAACAGTGGGATTAAACAGAAAGGACGTGTTCAAATCCAATGCTAATATGCACAATGGTCATCCTTTCAACTTTTAAGTGCTCCCAAATGTTGGTTCATATTTCACAAGCAGCAGAAGCAACACAAATCTGACTTTTATTGACAGATTTTGCCATAAATCCACAATTTGACAAATTTTAAAACCCAAAACGAGGGTTATTTCTCAAGCTGTCAGCCTTCCTCCTCTCTCCCTCTCCGTGCGTGCGTACAGTTTGTACAATAACAACTCCTATCACCAGTGCAACCCAAAATATGCACAAAGTGGTTGCACACTCTAACATGATTAAATGATGTGTGGTCTGGCGTCACTCCCAGCACCTCTCCCATCCCTCGCCACGCTCTCTATCTCCCCGCTGCACAAACACAAGCACGCACACAGATTCCCTTTCCCTGAGCCATGTTTTCAAAATAGACGCTTCATATTAACAGTCAACAGTCAAGCTGACAGGTACAGTCTGACCATACTCCCTCCCTCAGAGGATATCTGCGGTGTACACATGTTCCCGCTGAGGTGGAGTGTCGCAAATAGTCACACATGCACATATGAGGAATGCAGGAAAACATGTGGAGAGGATACAGCGGAGGGTGTAGAAATGCTTATTTTTTGTTATCCTGAGTGGCGGAGGAAATATTCAGATCACTTACTGGAACAAAAACTCGAAAGACCACAGTGTAATAACGCTGCGTGTGTGACTGTTGCATCATTTCAAGGGGGCATAAGCAGCTTAAAATCACTGCCACTGAGCGAGCTTTGAAAGAACAATGTAGGAGAAGCTAAATTAAAAAATGGACCACTTTTTAACTGTAAGTAATGAGTAACTTCATCTTTATCGTACACACCATAATGTGTATAAAAGTCAAATTTCCGCTCACAGATTCCACACAAAAATACAGATTCTGTATCCCAAAGTTTTTGATTTTATAAGCGTCCTGATTTTGGGGTTATAATCCAGGTTGTATTGTCCACAAGTGTTTCAGCTTTGAATTCATCACAACACGGAGACAACCGTCCAGATCGTCCTTTTATTTAACTTAGAAAAACATGAAACTACCATACCTGGATAATGCGGTCAGGGACCAATGTATACGGCTCAATCAGACTGAAACTAGCCTTAGCGTTCTCACGCTGGTAAAGACTTTACCCTTTTAAAAAAAGACCTGAACAGACAAAGACAGGACCTTAAAAAAATGAAACTTTCCCGCCGTACAAATAACAGTGTTTTCATCGTTCAATATACATCCCTTTAGCCTCTTGCTAACATGTTTTGCGGACTGTTTTTATACCTAATATGTCAACCTGGAGACAACCCGAGCTAAAAGGGTGTCAGTAATCAGATTTTTGTCCAGTGCTTGTAAACTTGGACAGTGCAGTAGTTGGTGAAACTGCTCAACTCGCCATTACCGTAGCTCAACAGGTAAACAGACTGATCGCTACAGTCAGCTACCCTGAGTTGCATTCTTGTTCAACTTCATTCTTGTTTCTCAAATTGGCAGCAAGGCTGTAGACGATAGCAGCTCCTGTAGAGAAAACTCTTAGATGGATGTCTTTCCTCATTAACCTCTGAACGCTGCAATAAGTTGGCTATCACTCCAAGAGGCGGCTGAGTTAAAACACAGTATCAGGGTGCTGGTGAAGCTTGACAGCTACGGTGAATAGTCCATACATGTAGGTGATCTCTTCTCACAGCAGTTGCTGGTTCGACCTTTTGCTGCATGTCAATCCCCGCTCTCTACTTTACACATTTCCAGACTTAATGCAGCTGTCTTCTCTAACAAAAGGGAGAACATGCCTCGAACCATTGAATCAAAAAAAAAAATCACAACACCTTCAGAAATGTGGAAAGTTGTAGCACATCATTAAGCAAATAATAGTGACGCCGTGGAATCGGAAAACTCTCTACTGTGTAATGACTGCCATCAAGTAGAATAATAATAGCATTATCCAACATGAAGTGCTGTTTGACACCAAACTAAACCTCATGATTGAGCTACTCCAGCTGCCCACTGACACACTTTCTGCTCAGTGAAAATAGCCGCACCAGCAGATTGTGATTCATCCCGGGAGTTTATTCTCTCCAGCAAAGACAACACAAAAAGGGACCTTGAGCAAAAACGAAAAAAAAAAAAAAATGAACTAAAAAAAAAAAAAAACCCACACCCTCCCACAGGCTCTGACCAAGGAGGAAGAGCAGTCGCATGCTTGCCTTTTTCCTGTTAGAGCTCTTGAGAGGGCTCTGCTCACCACGAGTGGTATTCCCAAGTCGAATCAATAACATTATGACATTACACACCGGCTAACTGCAGTGTTTACCTGCTACTTAAGCACATATTGTTGGGGAAAAGAAGCACAGGCGGCGCACCATTGGGAGAAGAACCAAATATTTCACAAAGGAGTTGATGCGTTGAGCTCTGAAGAGTGACATGAGTCCATGCCGTGTATTTGAGGAATATTTCCAGTCGTAAAAGGGCATCAGACGCAGGAGGAAAGATAATATATCAGTGGCTGGTAGGGAAAGATCAGTTCTTTGGGCAGTGCTGCTGCTGCTGCTGCTGAAGGTAATGAGGCCTCTTGTGTGTCCTCTCTGATCTGAGAGTTGAATTATTTCCCATGTGGCACGGCCATTTCCAGCTTCCGTCTTTTGCTCTCACCTCCTCGGGTGGGAGCGAAAAACTCCCAGCCTGCACTGAAAACGTGTTGCTATTGTCAGTTTACAGTGCCAAATACAGAGACTTCAGAATGGCTTCAGTCCAGAAGGAGAAAAGACACTAAAAAGTACGAAAGATGTGATTTCAAAACGAAAGCAAAGCTTTAATCTGCCCGGCTTTATCCTGATGCTTCTTATCAGTCAGTGGGAAACTGAGAGTTAATAAATGGTCGACTCCAGCGCCCAGACACACGTGCTGGGCTGCAGATCTCCGTTTCAATGTGTCTTTTGTTTGACGGCTGGTGTTTCAACATCCTCAACTTGAATAGAAGAAGGTCAGCCTGGTGGGGTCTGCTCTGGGGTTATTCAGGAGCCCTAAACCAGGGGCCCCAAAGAGGAGGGGAGACAGGGAGGGGACAGAAAAAGCTCCATCTCTGTATGACACACCAGCTTTGACTTAAGACGCCCTCTGGAAGTTGAGTTAAGCACAGAAAAGGTGTGCGGAGACAGCTTTAAAAACTCTCCCTGAAAGTTTGGCATGGCGTACGGGCTTAGTAACCATCTCACAGATTTCTCACATAAGTCCGAGCAGCTGGCTGAAGCAAGAGTGAACTGGATGCTGCAGCAGCTAAAAACATTACAAAAGCGGCTCGTGAACTTTTTCAGCTTCATGACAAAAACAGGGGAGACTTTCCTGGACATCTGAGCAGAAAGAGGCACAAAACACTCGCAGGCTTTGCTTGTTAAAACTCTTAAAGTGGTATTTTAAGAAGCAGATGACTCTTCCCACTTCACTTCTCCATGCTTTTTGATTCTTAGACAGATGTAGGAACAGTCAAGAGAACATGAACCCTCTCAATTTTGCACCCAGCAGGAATTTTTGGGAGTCAACTTGTTAAACCCACACGAAGCACGCAGCTGAGTGATAAGTCCAGGCTGTGTGACAGAAATACTCTGATATTTAATCGTAGCTGTGCACACGTGCTGCTCTTAACAAAGTTCAGAAATAAACATTTAACGTGACATTACGGATAATCCACGCCTGCAAGCCACATAAGACGAGAAACCATGTGCTTTTGTGTGCGTAAAAGGTGCAAAACTACCTTTAAAGGTTACGCATGCACAGGGAATGAATCCGCGCGGCGTGATTCATTCTGCAAGCAAACTGCACGCATGCTGCTGCTGCTGCTACATTTTCGCCTCCAAGCCTCCAACGCTGTGCAGATCAACGCGGCATCTGTTACTAACCAAATGCACAACCTGCTTAACAGCCCCGCCGGTTCAATCCCGACGGCACACAGCGGCGTGCTAGTAAATAAAACGCTGCGGTGGGTTATTACAGCCTGCGACGTGCTCCTGGGTGCCACTTCAAGTGGTCACTCTATTGTTGGGGAAACAATCTACAAACACACACACAAAAAGAAAAAAACCTTCACGAGACAGCAAGGCATACACAACAGCGGCAGCAGCGCGACACACAGCCGGGATAATAAGCCAAGTTTGCGGTTACTCACCGGGTTATTGCGCGCAGAAAGTCCTCGGTTAATTTTCGGCTCTTGTGTTTTAAATATCGTATCCCCACTCACGGCCACTGAGAACGGGCTCAACGTCAGTGGGTGAGTAACTGAATAGACTCGGAGAGAGCGCAGTAAGTTGAAGTGTCAAATTACATTGGCTATTCTATTACCAGAGGGACCCATGCTCGGTGGCTGCTGACAAAATGTGTCGCGGATTCCTGTTTTTTTTTTTTTTTTACGCGGAGAAGCCATCAGGAAGAGGAAGAGAGAAAGAAAGGGAGGGAGGGAGGGAGAGAGCGGGGAGTGGAGCCGGACTCTCGGATCAGATCAGTCTGCTGCCATCTGGTACTCCAGATCTGTTGAGGGACCCGGACCAACGGGGTCCAATGTGCTGAATGGACCAACACAATCATGGTCTAAAGGGAATATTAAAGGGGAGTTCGCGTGTTGGACTCTCAGTTTGACGTGCTAACATTCACAGTATTTGTCCTGGGTGGCTTTTATTGTGTATCACTGTGCTTTTAACACCACTTAAATATATTTAATTGAAATATTACCTTTTATTTAACAGCATTGGGGTCTTCAAAGACGTGAGATGGGTACTCATTGTGGAATATAAACACAATAAAAATATAAATAACAGTTTTTGGTCCCTGATTAATGGATTTTGACCATAATAAACTAATTAAATTAAATACAAACTATTTATTTTAAACAACCAATCTATATTTGTTCTAAGATCTTAATAGTTTGAAGAATCATAAAAACTATAATAATAATAATGAAAATAATAATAATAATAATAATAATAATAATAATAATAATAATGAAAATAATAATAATAATTATTATTATTGAAAGCTTCTGAAAATGAATTATTATTATTATTATTATTACTATTATTCATTATTTTATTCATTATTATATTTATTATTTTTATTTGTATATTGATGATTATATTTAATATTATTATTATTGTATCTATTATTTTTTTTACTGTTACTACTATATTATTTTTAATAATAATAATATTTATTTTTTATTCATTTATTATTATTTATTATTATTATTATTTGTTATTATTAATTATTATTATTTTATTTTATTTATTATTATTACTATGTTTCTTATTACTTATAATAAAATAATAATAATGTTTATTATAATTGTTTATTTTATTTTTTATAATTTATTTTTTATTATTTATTTTATCAAGAATTTTAATTAAAAGCTTTTAGAAAACTTTATTTTTTGTTTGTTTACTTGTTTTTTGTTTTATTCAGAATTTCAATTTAAAGCTTCAGGAAAACTGTTTTTTTTCTCTCTCTAAAGGGATGAAAATATACAGCACAGTAGAAAACCCGTTCAAATCCGGCACACGCGCACGCCCTCAAGCCAGCATACCAAACGCCTACGCGCGCGCTCGCCGTGTCATCCCGCGCTCCTCCGCGGATCTGACGCCACCCTCCGTGTTTTGCAGGTCGCCGCTCTCTGATGGAAAGCTCTGAATAACAAAGACATGTTTGAGAGCAGCAGCGGCATCAGCAGCAGCAGCAGCAGCAGTAGTCTGGGCTGAGCGCTGACGTCAAGGAGCCATGACTGTGCCAACCAGCATCCAGACTCCACACACTGACACACAAACACTAACACACTCACACATAAACACATATTAACACGTTGACCCTGCTGCTGCCTCTGTGGTCTGTTTGGGAGCACCCAGTGTTAAAAGTTAGAATCACATCACTCTGCATGCTGTGATTGATGCCTCAAAGTTCTGCTGTAGTAGAGGATCAGGCAAGTTTTCTCTCTTCTATAACAGAGTCAGTCCATCTAGTTTAGATTTGTAAGGCTCCACATCACAACATAGATTGTCTCATTTTATATCCCAGTCGAAAAAGTTAAAATTATAATGTTATATTGTTTAGAGAGCTGCAACACTCATTGAGTTTACATGCACAACTTAATCGGACTAAGCTAATAACTCGTTTTTTCAGACTTCTCTCCTTGTCCATGCAGCTAAGAAAACTGAATAATTGAAGTGAACGTGTCCTCCTCCCCAAAACTAGGGGGCGATATAGGTCTTTTCAGCGGCGCTGTTTCCGATCCCACACAACTGTCGTCAACAACAACAGCAGGTACCAGTCGTCAGAAGTTGCTACAACTGCTGCTGGGCATTTTCGAGCAAGAAGATGGAGCATCATACGCCGTTGTTTATGTCGTACATGATGTCCACGCTACTCCTCTTCTGTGGTGTTTTTGTTCTGGAGTTGCGGGGGCGTGGCGCATGCGCACATGCATTGTCCGATCATACTCTGATTACGCTGGTTACATGGTAGAGAAAATCAAATTCCAATAGCATTATCTGGGTGTCTTAATCGGAGTTCTCAAACTCTTATCGGAGTTCTGAAACTCCTATTATGGTCGGACTAAGGTGTTTACATGCGCTTCAGTTGTCCGGTCTTAATCGGAGTAAGGCAATAATTCGGTTTTCTCGAGTGTCATGTAAACACACTGACTGACCATCCATCAAACAAACACTTGGCAGCAATCAATATGTTAGCATGCACAGTTAAGTTGAGTTATTCTGTCTTTATCCAAGTTTACATGCAGGAAAACTTACTTTCAACAGGCAGAAACCTTGGCAAGACCAAACTCATATGTGGACAGTCATCTGCTGCTAACAGATGAGAAAAAAAAGTAGGATAGAAAGTAGGATGGGAAAAAGACAAGGATGTAGTCAAACAAAATGGAAAACAATTTGCAGACTTGGCAGGAACTCTGTTTCAACAGGCAGAAATCTCAAGCAGAACCAGACTCACTGATGTACAGTCATCTACACTGAATGATTAGGCTCAGACTCTGGGACAGAGAGAGAAAAGCCAGTGACACAAATACAACATATGATTCTGACTTGTGGCAATTCAATTATGAAATACTACTGATAAACAAAAATGACCATATTACAGAGGAAAACTGTTGTCAGCCATCAAAACTAGGAGATATAAACACTGTGAGGACACAAATTCCCCACATAAGTGATCCACTCTGCTGGTCTGTATGAAGTCCCTCTATTTTCTGTCCCCTGTATCTACCCCAGCTGTCTAACTTGGGGGTGGGGACTTATAGTAGGGACAAGCTGCAACAATGGGCGCCATTTGTCCTGCTAAAAGGTGACAGGATGCATTGATTTTAGCCTGCTCCAGCCTTGTAAGCCACCCTCGAGTTAGCTAATGTGAACATTTCCCTCCAAAGACGATCGGAAAATTGTAGGTAATTGTGATTCTCAGGGGCTGCCCTAGGATGCAGGAGAAAACTTTTCCTGGATCCCAAAGCCACATCAATTTTATTGAGCAATGAAACTCTGTTATATTCGATAGATGCAAGGTACAGGAGAAACTGTTTAGACCCGTAGAAAAGGCTTAAAGGAAGAAGCTGAAAAAATGATTCCACTTCCATCTTTGAAACCTTAATCTGCTTGAAACCCCAAGAAAATCTGACAAGTGCAACTTACGGGGGGCGTGCCCAGAATAATGGACGAGGTAGACCAACTTTGGTACTGTAGCATAAAGTGAACAGCAGATATTTGACGTTTTAGTCCACCATACTTATCAACAGCTCATAATGTCACCATATCTGTCATAATTATGAATAGAATGAGTGAGGAGTATTTTTCACCATGTTTTGCTTTCGTGTAACGTTTAATGGTGTGATGACAAAGTCAACAGCCATGAGTCAGGCGAACAGAGAAACAGTGACGCCGCATGATCGTGCCATCTAAATCTACCTCACCTTTCAGTTTATGGCCCAGCTGCATAAATACTCCTGCGTTTCTTGGGTTGCTCTTATTCGCCACATGCTGACAAACACAAAAAAAAAAAACTCGCAGAGAATAACAAAACACATTCAGCACCCACACCTCCTTCCACAAAAGCAGTACAATGTGATCTTTGAGAGTGGAGGCCGGCAGATGTCTGTGTTTTCCTTTTACTGTTCCCACCTGGTTTATGAATGAACAACCGCCAGGCTCCAGAGACCAGCCCACATCCTCCACATGCAACCAACCAACCACCCGACCAAGCCCTGGCTGTGTTCCAGTCCAAATGTGTTCACAGTGCACACTTTCCTCTGCTGCAGGCTGAAAGCCAACACTGCTTGCTCTAAGTTGCAAAATATGTGCATCTTGAAGGTTTTTATGAGCACAATACTCAAGTATGTTTTCTAAGGGCCTATGTCCACTAAAAGCTTTTTTTTTTTTTTTTTTTTTTCTTTTTGCACCAGCAGCACCTACAACCATCATTTCAAAGTGCTTCTTTTGCTTGGTGTGATTCATAGTTTATTTTATTCGGTAGGAAATTACGCATAACATCAAATAAATTAAATAAATAGTGTTGTAGCATCAGTAACACTAGACTTATGTCCCATCAGAGGTCCTGCCTCTTCTTGATTTTGATTGGTCAGTGATAGAGAAGGGTGATGGACCAATGTGGCAAAGAAAGAGTTAGGCTATTTTCATTGTGACAGCAGCAACAACAACAACAAAACACTTAAATGCTAAACTACACCGCCTTTATATAAATGTGCACCATCAGCGCCAAAAAAACTCAGTCAGTGGAAACAGGCCCTAATTTGATTTTAGTAATGAAATCGAATCACAAGTCTTTTAGGCTGGTGTGTTTTCTTTTTTTCCTTTTTTGTTTACTATGAACAAAAAGTGTAAAGGAGTTGGAACAGAGCTGTTTTCCCATGATTAAGAATCAAAACATTAAAAAAATAAAAATAAAGTCACAGTTTAGATTTTTGTTTTTCCTTTAAATTTGATAATTTTGCAAAAAAGGGGGGAAAAGTCATGTGGCACAGCAGCAATAGTGAAAATATCAAAATAAAAGCGTATAAATTTGACTGTTTATTGCATGAATTCTTGTTTACCCTCTTTTCAAACCCTGAAGATTCATGCGTGCCCCTTTTCCAACATTTATTATTAGGGGTGTGTTGTGTTTAGGGACTGTGTAAAACCGAGAGAGGAGAAAGAGGAGACAAAACGACATGAGGGAAATCTTATAAACCCCATTGATTCTCATTACAGCGGCAGAAAGAGTGCAGACATACCTAGACAGGTTGTCCTGAAGCCTCCTGATGATTTCCTCCTTGTTGTATTTTTTTCTGCAGACATTATTTTTTGAGCAACACCAGCAGATATCTGGCTGCACGAACCCAGCGCTACTGCTGCTGCCGCTTCTCTGCTTTTTTTTGGGGGGAGTGTAGAGCCAATCAATGTGTGCTCACAAAGGGGGGAAGAGCACTCAGAAAGCCAACTGTTCCCTCAGGCCACGGGCTCTGAAGAAGAGGGAGAGACAGAGGGAGACGGCGCAGAGAGAGAGAGAGAGAGGGGCGAGGGGGTTGACAACATGTTTCCTTTGCTGCTGTACACAGAGAGGAATAACATGATCAGTGCAGCCCTGACATGCAGCAAATACATACTGACTCCGGCTCACTAAAATTTAGAGACAGTAGATCTGATACTAATGATTATTTATTTTATTAACAGTAAGTAAGTACTGATAAATATATTAAGAAACTCACAGGAGGCACGTTTTACAATCATTGCAAAGCATTAAAAACCATCATAGAAAAATTCTCAGTCTTCTTTTCTCATTATCACTACATGATGTCAATTGTTATTCAACGATCATTTTCTGCTGATACATTAGATAGATTAGACTGATAAAAGCCACCCAGAGTGTAGACCAACCATGTGACCTTCAGTTAACCTTTGGTATCAAAATATTTATGTCATCATTTGTTTTCATGTTAGTATATTCATTTTCAATTCCTCACAGTGAATCATTAAAGCTCCAGTGAGGAGTTTTTTGACAGTCATGAAATAGACTTAAAGTCACATTGTTGCCTTTTTATGACAAACGAAAGCAAACAAGATAATCAGCAATAAAACTGAGAGCTTTAATTTAAAAATATTTAATGCCTGGTGCAAGGGGGTAGGTGTCAATGCAGCTGCTGTGAAAAAAGATCTGTTTTTACATTTTCCGCATTAAATTTTCATTAAAAAAATGATCCACATGACTGTCAAAGTCAGAAGACACAACTTGAGCATGTGGAGTACAAACAAAACCAAATTGCTACCAAGACAGGGTGTGCCAAAATAACACAGGAGCTTTAAATAAATAGAAAATATCCTTTTCTTGCTCTATATATTCCTGTGATCACAAAGACTCTTCTGCTAATAGATGCCGCTTGAGCCTTAAGAGGCTGAGAGCAAGAGACAGAGACAAGAGAATAAGAGGCTATTGTTGGATTACTTTACATCATTTACGCTCAGTCAGACCTGCAGGAATGATCACAATGGTCAGGAAATATCGATTACTTGTTGGTGTTTTATTATTAAGACGCACAAGTATATATGTTAGTGTATGTGTCTACACCCTCTTTTTTGGAGAAATATTTTTATTGTCTTCAGTTGCTGTTACCAGTATTTCAAATACAATTTCAAGAAAGTCCCCTATTCTTGATGCCGAGAGCTGATATTATTACTGACTTTGTATTTAAATAAGGATTATTATCCTATCATATGAAAGTGATCAATATATATAGGGTATATTAAAATAAAATTTCTGACTGAAATAGTTTTGGCTCAACCTGAGAGAAAGTTGTGTTGAAAACTATGTCCATGCATTATAATATGCATCATATCATGAGGTCTTAGCTCTTATATTTTTGTAAGTGGATTTAGAAAATCACAAAAAAAGCTCAAGAATAAGAAGAAACTCTCTTCTTCTTTAAAGGTGAAAGGATTTAAAACCCATTTTTTATCACTCAAATCACATTATTCCTACTCATTCAGATCAAATATGTGTTTCTCTGCAGTGTTGATGACAAACTGATGTATTTTAAATTTATGGGTTAATGGTTATTTGTTGTGTACATGGCAGCGTGCTGCACTGTTGAGCCATACTATGTGTGTGTTTTCATGCTCTGGGAATTATGCATAATTTGCGTCAAACAATCCCTGCGTGACAGATTGAGCTCACAGTGGGTGTTCCACTTAATAAAATCACTTGTGTGTAACAACTCCCACCTTGACATCCCTCTGTTCCCTCTCACAGGAAAAAGGTTTAGGTATTATGCGGCGCGGTGAACACTTTTTTGTTTTCGTTTTATGTATTAGCTGACAGGAGGTTAACTAGCTATTTCCAGCTCCATTATTCTGCTGTAACTCCGGGGCAGAGTGAAAAGTCAATTATAGTCAAAGCATACTGTGTTTGTCAGAATCTCCTCCGCTGAATCATTTTCAGCTAAATGCAGGCGTTTAATTATTACCGAGACATTATACTGCTTAATGAGATACCACAGTAAATTGCATTGCGCTAATAATAATTTAAAAAAAAGCAGTTCTTCAACAATATCAGAGCTGGTCCGTACAGCACTGTGACATTTAAGTAAGATGCTCTCCTTATCGTAGACGACGGGTTCCTGCTCCTCAGCTGGGAAATGTCACATGTTTTTTAAGGTCAGGCTCGGTTATTTTTCATCAAAGGAGCTCAGCAGAGTGATTTCCTACAACTGGAATCAACCTAAACACATGACGTAGATCTTGAGTGCAAATTCAATCAGAAATGCCGCCATGTCATACTACTTCCATTAAAGTACTTCCATGTATGAGTATGACATACTGAAACCACTTGAAATCCCAGTGGAGCAGGTGTGAACTTGTGAACTAGCTGCAGGTTTTGCTTGTCAGTGACTAAGCAAAGTAAATATGGCTGAAAATTCAACATGCCCTGTTGCTAAATTTCATTATTTTCTCCCAAATTTACTCCTGCATGAGTATCTTTTGTGTTACTGCTGGTGCAAAGTGGTGAGCATACAAAGGAGCTCCTGCTCTCTTTCAGTAAATCTGATACTAAGAGGTTTTGTTTATTTTTCCAATGATGTTTGGAGCACTTACACATTTTCTGTAATTTCTGTTCACTGAAGCTGATGTCGCAGTCTGAGCTTGTTCGGTCAAAGACAACGTGATCGCAGCGAACAGATTGGGTTCAGAAATAAAAAAAGACACAATCCATACACTCTTTCCCGGGATTTCCACTACATCCAGAACAGCTCTGATCCAGAACGGCAGCGATTTTCTCCATTAACTTGAATGACACATTAACTTGAATGGTTACGATCAGCTACGATCGGCGGATAAGGCCTTTTCTTAGCCATTCCAGATGCAGTGGAAATTGGGGGTTAATTCTATGTAAGTAACTCCAAAATGTTTTACTGGAATATTAAGTCACACTAAAGTTGACCTTTGGCCTTAGAATTTAAAAGGGTAGCCATTTGGGTGGCGGTTGACCTGGTTTAAAAGGGGTTCCTCACATATAGAAGTTATAGTCCTCATCACAGCAGTCCATAATTTGACACCTAGCCACTACTCTTTGTTGTCTCCGTGAATCCATTGTTTTTGAAACAAGTTAATTACTGGCTGAACATAATTTTTAATCAATTTTGAAACAGGCAACAAGGTAAAGTTAAAGCTCCTGTGAGGAACTTGCAGTTTGTATCATTTTTAGCGCCCCCTGTGGACAAAGCAGCCTTTTTTTATTTTACCCTTACATGCTTTTGTGGTGTCTTCTCACACAAATCTCTTTCTGCTGACTTTTGACAGTCAAATGTTTTATTTATTATAAAGACTTGTGTGGAAAATGTAAAAACAGGGTTGCTCAGCTGGTTGGTTCAAAAATTACAGTGTAAAATCGACAATCTTGATGCTGATAGTCTTGTTTGCTTTTGTGTATCATAAATAGACAATGATATGAGTTTTATTCTATTTCATTCATGTAATAAAAACTCCTCACATGAGTGTCTATGAGTAGGTGATTGAATAAATGGAATATTTGTTAGACTGTGTGGATTCTCACCAAGTCTTCCAACCCATCATCTGTTTACTTTAATGTTGCGTTTGACCATGAAAAAATTTTCAAGGTTTTATACTTTTTAAAGTTAGCCATGTGGTTGTTGGGGAATGGGATTTGTTAGTGCATGATGGGCTGTTTTGATCACATCATTGCTGTCCACCCACAAGAGGAAGAAAACTGTTAAATCTCTCATGACTTCTGTCATGTGTCAGGTCTTTCATACTTCAGCATCAGTTGAGGTTTTAAGAATCTTTGAGCGAGGGGCCAGCCTTAGAGTGCAATAGCTGTCAAGGCCTCATTAGAGGGCAGCGGGAGTACCAACACAGAGCCAGGAACACACACGAATTTACACACACTAGAGCGCACACACTTGTTGAGACGCCCTCATGACAACATCTACTCCTCCTGCTTTACAGCCTCCCTCATCCACAAGTCTGTTTGGCAGGGGTTGCCGGGCAACAGGCTGCGTAAACACGGCACCTGACATGTCGGAGGAGAGAGCAACCAGGCGTTCAGACACTTGTCTGCATAGCTCTGTCGACTCCACTCACAAACATGCACTTATCATGCAGAAAATAGAAGCACACTCCTACATGTGTACACAGAAGAGCTGAATGACTCTCAGATATACAAGCACGTTTTAGAGCTGCTAAGTTTAAAGCTTTTTTTTTGGCACCTCATTG